GACCTACAGCTATGCGGTGGTCACAGGGCACATGTGTGGCCATTCGGTGCCTTGACCACACATGACAAACCCTTGGCCGGTCAACCATTCAAGTCCGTATAAGCCTGAGGTGTGGCGAGAACGGGTTTTTCTACTGGCATGCAAACAGAACTTTAATTTCTTCAGTCAGGCAGGGTTTGTTAAACTAAAAACAATCCAGCTTGTCGTCGCAACCCCCAAACTCAGGTTTGAGGTTGGGGTGTTTGTCTCTGTCGTCATGCAGGAGTTCAAGACCCTCTCGGATGAAGACCTGAAGCACTGGCCTGCCAAACCATGGCACCCGGAGAACAAACCTCCGCTGACAAAGTGGCTGGACCAGGAGCAGCATGCCGAGGCCAAATCCCGCCTGCATGCTGTGGGGAATTGTGTGATCCCTGACATGTGTAAGCTAGCGCTGAACATCTTGGCTGCAGAGCAGCGTGCTCAAAGGTGATTTCTGAGTATTTGACATGTCAGAGACCTCTAGGTGATTTCTAGAATGTGTGATTTCTAGAACCAATGCTGTTTTGAACAAAAAGGATTCTCGAATAACCTTTCAAATAGAGCATGGCTGTGAGAAGCATTGCCGGTGTCAGCAATTCAGTGCCAAGTTCGGTGCAATTTCAGTGGGACTTCCACTAGGCTTGCCAGTTGTGTGAGTTGAACCTAGGCTTGCCAAAAAATGACTTGACCAGCCCCATTGCAGAAACTTGGACAAGCACAGATGGGCAAACTCCTAAAATTGAACTCCCGTGAAGGATTCAGATTTTTGCCTCAGCCGTTTTTCCTGGGCCGCTTGTCTTGGGCTCGAAGCTCCAGGTCTTTGGGTGTCTCCGGCGTGTTTTCCACGAGCGTTCAACTTGTTTGTCACTTGGGCCCTAGACAACGCTATATTCTGGTTTAGCATGTTTTGGCTCGCAAGGTCTTGGTCCACAAAGTGCTTCAAGTAATGCTACAAGCGAAACATGGATGTTGTGCGAAACATGTTTTTCCTTGCACTGAATGATACTGGCAGCAACTAGCTAGTGGCAGCTCAAAGATGGTGGAAACATGCCCATTGGTGTTCTTTTTCTGAACAATGTTTCATTTGTGACCCTATGCCGTGCACCACCTTTGGTCTCGTTGCATTTTGCTCTTTGGCTTCAAATCAGACTTTGGTGAACCAACTGGATCAACCCCCACGTTGATCAAACCTGAGAGAACATCCCAGGCGCGGGCCTCTGGAGCGGCCTTGCTGGTTTGACCTGTGACGGGGCACAGGCCGGTTTTGCTTAGGGAAGGTGTGAGACTGTGAAATTACAATGGTTGTGAACCGTCAAACATATCAATGAAGACTGTTTTGGGATAGGTCGGCGCTATGACTACCCTACTTCCAGGCGTTTTTGCTCTTAGTGATGAGGAGGATCCGGTGGCGCTCAAGAAATCAAATCAAGGGATTCGGCGAGCGAAGCGGCCTGGTCGTGGCTTTCGAAAGGCGGTAGCTTCCACAAATACTGCTGACCCGCAACAACTGAGGAGGTTGATTAATTCCAAGTGTGGGTGTACTGCAGACTGCTTCAATCCCTGGAGACTCAGTTTGGCTTTGTGGGACCAATGGATGAAATTGCGGACCCTCTTTGTTTCCATGACCAAGCTTGAGAAGGATACTCATGTCAGGTCCTCACTTCTGTTTTTGTCCAAACAGTGAATTGTCCTGAGCAGTCATTGATCTGGTATCACTGTTTGTGCCTCCACCCCGGGCCTAAGTGGCCTAGGTGTACTCTCTGATGCAGAAGACACCTGAGCCGGCATGTCGAGGCTCGCGGCATTTGGTGTATGCAGGGCATCAATTGTGCAACAAGGGGTTTGCCAAGTTGATGGGGATCGGCAAGGGGAGGTTTGAGAAGATGAGGCGAGCGTTGTCACAAGGAGCTGAATATTGCCCTTATGATTCTAGATACATCCCCAAGGGTCCTACGACGAATCATTCGGAAGCATGGTTCAAAGTGCACGAGCACCTCACTCAATTATACCTTGAGTGCGCGGAGACGATCCCTGATGGATTGAACTCAAACAAACGTCCACGTCAAGCCAACAATCGCTATGACCGAGAAGACATGAATCGAGGGAACATCAAACATTTACCCCACGCGTCGATCAATGATTATTACATTCAGTGTAAAGCAGCTCTACCTGGAGTGAAAGTGAGCAAGAAGCTTTTCACGAGTGTAGCTGAGCATTAGTAAATTTTGCTTTTGGCAAACAAAACTTTCCCACAGAGTTATTTATTCTATGTCAAATGGTAACACCTCTTCCAACATAAGGTCTGGCAATCTGAATTCGACGACAAACTACGTATACGTTTCAAAAATCATCACTCTAAATGCTCTCAGTGCCTCAAGCACCGGTTGATTATTCGCAAGTTGGGGAATCAAGGCGCTGCACGCAGGGCTCAAGAGAAGCTACTATTGAAGCACCTGTCCCGTCAGCACAGGGATCGTCAAATTTATTGGAGCCTAAGAGCGCAATCTCGACTGGAGTCTACCAACGCACAGGTTCACACAATTTGCTGCGTTCTCGACTCTATGCACGCAGCCAAGCATTCTTGGCCGAAGTCAAATAATATGTACTCCAAGGAACTCAACGCCTTCAACCGACCGCGTTTGACCAACACCACCCTGATAATACATGGGCATTTGGTGCATGTTGCTCTGTCGCCTCATGTTGTGAGTGCTAATTCCAGTCGGAGTTGCGAGATCCTGATGCACGGGCTATCACTCCTGTCTCGCCGTCTGGATCTTCGGCATTGCGTGATTCATTGTCAAGCCGACAACTGCTCGAAAGAGCTCAAGAACAACACAATGCTGCAGCAAATGGCAACCCTTTGCGCTTTGAAGAAGGTAAGGGCTGTTCAGCTTTCCTACCTCAGCAGCGGACACTCCCATGAAGACATTGACAGCACCTTTTCCCAATTTGCTGCGCACCTTGAGACCTCCCAAGATCTGTGGACACCGACTGATTATGTCAACTACATGCAACGGTTCTTTGCCAATACCGAAAGGCGGCCTTGGGAGAAGGCTTCACGGAAGGTGTATTTGCTTACGCAGTTCAGAGATTGGACCCTCAAAAGAGAATTCAGCAACTCTTTGTTTTATGATGATGTACAATATAGGCTAGCAGAACATAAGTCAGACTGGTCAGCCCATTCACCAAAAAAGGAAGAATTTCCTGCAGAACTGGCTTCAAGATGCGCACATCACCGGAATTGGAGGTCCCGGCGCCCCACATGTCTTCAGGCTTGATCGCATTGAGGATACAGGAGACTATAAGCAGTCAGCTCTTACCCATGAGAACTTGAGAAAGCAATACAACTAAGAACTACAGCAAACGAGTCCTATGAACATGCTGTCTGGGCACTCCACTCTTGCTGGCAGGAATAGCCCGCAACACCTTGAAGGAAGAGTTTTGGAGCATGCGGCGTTATGAACCAAGCGGTGCAGATGTTATCCTCAGGATCTTGAAGTGTTTCAAGTGTTTAGCAACTATGACTACCAATGTTGCTTGATAGGACAAAGCAGTTCATGAGCAATGAAGATTGGGATGGCCCGGCCATGCTGATGCTCCCAGCTTCTGTGGCTCGTGCTATGCAAGGTGACTCGCCGCCAGGCCACACATACATGTTCACCATGATGGCGCAAAGTTACTTGTCAGTTACCTAAGTCTTTTGGGAGAACAATGCAAAATGCAAATACACATCCTGCGCAGTCTTTTGGGAGAACCCTGTGAACCCCGACTCCGAAGAGAGCAAGGCCTTCCGAAAGTATGCATCCTTGATGCGCTCGGACCTCAGACCATCGTACAAAACCAGAGGACCAGCAGACTTCAAGAGGACACAACTTTTGAGCCCTTTTGACCTCCATTGGTACCTGGCTTGAGTGCGTGTTTGATGTCGTTCCAAAATGAGTAGAAAACCACTAGTTGCACCAAAAGCCTTCCAACCAAACTCCCTTGATAAAGAACACCCGTGGATCCGTGGTCAGGTGCTGATCCTTTCGACATGTTCAGTGCGGCCGATGCGCTGGAAGACTATGCAAACGGCGTTCACACCCATGCGCCATTCATTGATGTAAGCTGGTCCATGCCCAAGTTGCGAAACCCAGTGAAGACTATGATGCGATGCGAAACCCAGTGTACCCCTGTAACTTACCTAACTCATTGATGGCCCTGTCTAACTCATTGAGGGCCCTGCCACATCTTGGACCTGGACTTGGACCTGGAGCGCCAGCCAACCCGATAGCTGTTGGTCGAAATTTGGAACCGGTCTGAACCTCAACTGCCTGGCGGGATACCAGTATTGATGCCAGAATGCTTCCGACTCAGGCCCAAAACCATCTTCGTATGGTGGCCCAGCGGCCAAATCGTAGGGATGCTGTTCGATATGATTTGGCCCGTCGGAACCAAGCTCTGTACATAGCTGCTACAAGGCTTTGGTCGTGCGGAGTACCGATGGGGGAAGCTATCAAGATTGTCAGCGAAGCACTGGCAAGGGTTTAGGGGATTCTGGACACCAAAGGTGTCACTGAGCGTATCTGGGCATCCGGTAAGGGAAAACAATGCCTCAGATTGAGGGCTGGTTCTGAAGAGTAATGGGGTATTTTGTGAACTATCCACCAAATCCAGGCGTGTTTTGTGAAGAATCCTGGACGGACCCGCTGGGATTTGTGAAGAATGTCCACCACACAAATTTGCACCTTGTCCCACACCCCTGTTTTGTGAAGAAAGTGGTCGTCTTTCTTCACAAACCGGTAGGATCCAGACACAATCCTTCATAAACTCGCTCGCACCTCCCCCGATCTTCGAACTCTTGCATCGGCCGATGAGATTTGTGAATAAACGGGTCGTCTTTATTCACAAATGACCGTGTCCCTTTGAGAGTGTCGTTTGTGAAGAGATGCATTGTAAACACTGACCTCAACATGCCAACAAAAAGCCAGGTCTTAGACATGGCGCCGAAGAAGAGGACTTCGGGCGGACAGCCTCAGGCGCAAAAGCAGAAGAAGGCCAAAGCGGGTGAGATTATGGGAGCTCCTGCTGACTCTTTGGCTTTAGCGCACATGTCACTCTTTGAGAGTTGGATGAACCTTGGACAACAAATGAACAACAAGTCGTACTTCTTGGGAAAGAACACCCATGGAAAAACTCTGATTCAATTTACCACCAGGAAAGAACATGTCTTGGACAAGAACCTGACCGTGGATGCTTTGCTCACTCAACATCTAGCAGATGAGGCTATGTGCAGTTTTGAATTCGTTCGGATTGCTTGTAAACTCGGTGTCTCTCAGGCCACTGCCTTCGGCTTCTACAAGTTCTTGGAGGAGAAATTCCCTCCGACCTCGGGAGTGTCATGCTCTCAGATCTGCCTAAGAGTTGGGGGGTCTGCTCAACCTGTCTTTGTAAACTCACGAGAAGATGAAGACTTTGTAAGAACGACATTGCGTAGCTGTTTAGTTTGCTGGCCCCTCAAACCAAGTGCATTCAGGAAGTATTGTACTATCACTGATCTCCAACATCCCGGTTCTGTTCAACTACGACCATGGCAACTGCCTTTTAGACATGACCTTGGGCTTCGAGGGACAGGTGACATCGCAGCTCAGCGCCAAATTTGAATCTGTGCACTATCATCATGCAGTGGATTTCTTTGTACTTAGGCATACTCAATGTATGTACGAAACCAAGGATACCCAACATGCATTGTGTCAGCTGATTCTACTCAACGGCATGATGACTTCGGCAGACCAGCCAGGAGTAGAGAAGCTATGCTGCACCGTCACCCAATCCAGTTGGCTTTGTTCGCCTTTGGCCAAAGTTCGGGTCCAGGAGGATTTGAGTTTTGAGGATGGCAGTCTGGCAGGTCCGGGCAGTGTATACATGGTCAAAGGCTGGCACCGCAGCATTTGTTGTCTGACAGTTTGCTATGCAGCCTTCATGGTCCCGGAAATGCTCGAGGCTGGGTTCTTTTGTGAATTTTTGTGATATTCATTGGACTACAGCTGGTAGGTTTCCAATACAATACACGCACACAGCACTGGCTGTTTTGATCTTAGCAGGCTATGCCAGATTCGGTCCGCCAGCGCCTGGCCAGCAATCAGTGTGGATACTTAACAGTTTCACGCACAACCAATTATATACATGCTTTTATGATCTTTTATGTGTGCAAGTGTCCTATTGGCCATCACACTTGTCATACTGCTGTACCTCAAGGAGCTTCAGCACGATGTATGCGACCACAGTCACCGCAGACATCAATCACATTGTTGCTACAAATCGAGGCTCGAAACTAGGCAGGTCAATAGAAACTAGGCAGGTCTCCTGTCCCTTTCGGAATGCCAGGGATTTCATGCAGCTCGACTATCAGGAAAAGGCCAAATGCGTTCAACCTAGTGCATCAGCTCGAAACAATGATGCGCAGTGGCCTTAGCCGGGAACAAGTCCTGGGCAGTCTTGAGGTGGGGTCTTGCTAAATGTGAGTGGATATGCACGTATCTCATTTGAACTTTCGGATTTTGGGTTTGTGCAGGCATCTGATGGGATTGCCAACTTTGCGTCCTGCTACGCACTTGGAAAGCAGGAATGTGGGGCCGCTGTGAACCTCCTGACCAAGATCCCAGGGGAGGTGAAGGATTGTTTGACTTTGCTGGTTCAGAGACTTGGTTTTGATATCCTTGCGCGCTGTGTCTTTCTAAACAAAACCTATATGCGAGCGCCAAAACATCCATATTTGTCACACACCTGAACCTCGGTGCCTGAGGAGATATACCCAATCTCGATTTATAACGCACGAGGCCATATCGACCAATCTGCTGAACGAAGGTCACACTACTGCTAGCGGCATCATGATTCCTTGGAAATCTCAACTCACCAATTCCGTGCCGCTCCTGCGGCTCCTGCTGACACGGCTGGAAAAGGATTGGACAGCGCTTGCAGTCAAGCAGCGGCGGCCATGGAGCCAACGCGATGTAGACCCTAGGCCTAGGTTGATACATGATTTTGGTGAAACTGCAACCTATGCGCGTGTTGTTTCAATTGGTGTGGGAACACATTCACACTCAGCATCGACCCTGTTCAATATCTGAGGAGCAATTGCAGCGGGTTTGCGGAGGCTTCTTAGCCTGCTTGGACCAGTTCACTTCCTTGGTGCCTCCTGGCTTTGCTAATGGGTGCCTTGCTGACATTCACAAAACGTGACTTGGTTGAGTCAGTCTTCTCAACATGAAAAATAAATGAACACATAGTTCAAACAGTTCAACACGCTAGCAATACTAGCAGCTAGTATTACTGTTTTCTTGGTGGAGACATTCAGGTTTGAGCTGCGTCATGGGGACGCAGATATCATCCAGCTCCTGGAAACTTCAGTACCGCCAGCTGGACTTCACAAGATTTCGATCTTCTCAGGTTACATCCAGAAGTATCACAGTCAGGCCAGGATTCTAAACCCTTTTTGGGTTAGCGTGGATTAGTGCACTTCTCTTTCTTGGTGGCAAGCAGCTGAGATCTTGGCAGGTGGAAAAGGACAACCGCGCCAAAGCAGCTGAGCTTCCTGGCAGGTGTTAAGAGGTGATTCCCAAGTACTATCAAGTACTAACATTTTATGTTTGTGAGAATTTGGAAGTATTTGGAAGCCATGTAGGTTGAGCGCACAGCTTTTGGTCACCACGTGGCAACAAACTGAATTGCAAATGTCCGAAGAGCTCTCCAAACTGCAAGTGTGGTCCCAGCAGTTTCAGCTGTATGCAGAGCAACAGGCTTGAGTGTTTGAGTGATGTTTAAAAAGAAAAACATGCCTCTGGTATTTGTGTATATTGAATCCGTATAACTCCCATTCTCTCGCACTACTCCAGGGAGCTTTGGACTTCAAGCACATCTCGGATCGTTTCCAGAAGGGCAAGGAGTGGGCTTCGGAATACTTGGAGAAGAAGCACCGGCTATGCCACTACCCCTCGCTGGTGTTAGCGCACAGCAACATTGTTTCTCTCCAAGCGGAGATGGGTTCTGAGGGGCCACTTGATTAAGCTGTTGAGTGTTTGAGGTTCGGAGCCCTTCAGGTACACAAACCGCTGCAACTTAGGCTGACAATTCTCGTTGTGGATGCTACTTTGTGGCCATCCCGCTCCTTGCTGTACATTTGTTTTGACAAACCACAAACCATTCTGCTCTTGGTGTCCCAACCTCTCCTCAGGTCAGTTGTCGATCGATGAATCAATCCAGATTTGTCAGTCTGTGAGCTCTGGCAACGTCAACACCGTCGCCTTCTTTTGCTTGCCCCAGATGCACACTAGTACCAAATGGTCAACCGTTTTGCAACACAGAAGGTTGTTGGAGGACAAGCTGGGGGCGCGCCTAACCTGATCTAACCTGCATGTGCTTTGAGCTTGGCCCCAAATTTGAGTTATCATCAACAGTTCGTCTCTAGGTGCATGGACGTGTTCGAGATCTCCGTGAACTATTCCAATTCTCTGCATCAAGGCGACCGGCGAAAGACATCCCAACAATGCACTTTGAATGCATAGAGTTTGAAAAGTGTATGTTGGAAACCTAGAGGGCTGAAAAAAGCAATGCCACTTAAAACACCCGAACCCCGCCGCTGCCCAGGTCTTGCTGCTATTTGCGCCTCCTGGAACAGCGCCGCGTTCGTGAAGTCGAAGGCCTTGCTCGGGTCCATATGCGATGTGGCAAGGAGTCGTGTCGTTGATTTGGTCAACCCCGATCCGGAAAGGGCTTTAGCGCCACATTGGCGCGTTTCTTGAATCAAATGAGGTTGAATCGAACTGAGTGTTCATTGCAATTGTTATAATTGTTATCAATGGATATGTGTTTAATAGGAAAACATATCTTAGGTGCAGCAGAGGGGTGTGCAAGCTACAGCTGCCATCTTGAAGAACCTGGTCGAGGGCGTAGCCACCCAGTCGCCACACCCACTACTGGTAGTTGATTTATTGCCCAGCAGGCCTGGATGATTTCGAAAATGTTCAACACGCTAGATTTCCAACCTCTCCACTTTTGTCACAACCTCTCAACGCTCCCTCCCAGGTTTTCAGAGTGGTCCTTGGCCTCCTGGTCGATCCAGCGCGAGCTCCTGCAGGATGCTTCAAAGGACTTGGATGTGCGTTTCCTGGCGACCTACCACTCAGATTCGGTAGCTGACTTGACTGCAGCTAAAGAGGCCTTGATGGGTCGTCTGATCAATGATTTCTGGGATTCTTCTGAAGCGGCTGGTTCAAAACGCCGTGAATGCACCACCTTCTCACAGCCCTTACCGTCCCTGGAGACTTTGGTGGTGACTGATGATGGAGAGCTGAAGTTTTTTGCACGCAATTGAATTTAACAGTCATGTCTTGTGTTCTGTTGGAACCAAACCTGCGTGAAGAATGCCAAAAACTCCTATCGTGTTTGGGTTTCTTGTTGCCTGCAAATCTTGTTGCCTGCAAAGGATTCCTGAAGCGGTGCAGCAAAAATATACGCAGCAACCTGGCATGAACGCGTTCCTGGACCGATTGCAGGCTGAGAGTTCTGTCCTTCAAGCCCTGAAGACTTTTCGAGCGTCGAGCCAGAGAACCAGTCCTGGCCAATCACCGACAGCGAACACCACCCGAACCCTGGCAACACCAGACTGGCAGGGAGATGGGCCATTGAACGTCCGAAAACGTATCATTGAGCATCAAGTTCCGCTGAGCGAGTTCGAGGGTTCCAACGCGAAGCTTAGATAGTTTAGGCACATGTTTCTATTGGGGAACACCTGTTTAGTATGTATTTCTCAATACATGCAACAACAATTTGTTGGCAAATGCCACTGAGTCTGGAGAACATGGCTGACCTCGCCCGGGTGCAAGGGATCAAGGTGGGCATCACCACTGACAACCACATTTGGCTGTTGAACAAGATTGGGAATGGAACGACGCTGGACTTCTCAGCTGGTGAAATCTTTGGTTTCAATATCGGAAGCTATTCGGAGGTCACACTAGGCGAGGTATATGGGGAGACCAAACGTTCTGAATACACACAACATCACGCAGCAGTTTCATTGTCTGTCCATATGGATAACAACATATGCAATCCATTAGTTGAATGATCTGCGCCAAAATATCCAGGGTCTGCTGAGCCTTCTGATTCGCATATTCCATGGCTGGTCAAGCTGGACAAGACTCTGGTGGCCTTGGCAGACACCAAAGAGATCAAGTCAATCGCAGAGATTCTTTGCGACGTGACAAAACAAAGAGGCATAACTGAGATCCGAATTGTTGACCACGCCTTGCAGCCTAAGGCGAGGTCCCATTTAAAATATTTCAAAATATTTCAAAGGTAAGACGTACAGTATATCGGGGTTTGGGGATACTTCCACTCCTTCTCACAGAACATCACAGAACACACATACATGTGCAGGTGGGCGCTGACCAGAGGCCACTAGCGTATCGGTATGACATCTCGCCCATGAATTCCGTGAATGCTTACAAGCCAAAGGAGCTACCAAGTGATTGCAATCGGCTGGGCATGCGCTCAGTGCAGCTGGGGGCCTGCTTCCATTCCAAATACTCCCAGCTTCGGGGAAGCCAGCTCTGTGGTCTTGTCTGGGAGGCCCGGTGTTCATTTTGGTGTTGATTCGTGGCCATGACTTACCCTCTCCCATCAAACAGCGGTTCGTGCGCAGGTGAAAGTGGATGATTCTGTACCCGCCACCCTGAAGCCTATCAAGCCCAAATTCTATTTGTTGGGCTCTGTTTCAATCAAAGATGGACATGCAATCAAGTTGAACTGATTGCTGAACTTAGTTTGGGGGTTCTAGTGTGATTGCATGGGCTGCAGGACTGGAAATGAAACCGGTAAGATGTTTGCCTTTCTATATTTCAATCATATCAAACATACTATCAATATCCAAACTGAAACATCAAATGTATCGGATTCAACTTGCTTTCGGTGAGCCAGCCCAACAGTCAATCACTTAGATTTTGGTGATTCTGATGCTTGGGAAAGAACCTGAGCCTAGACGTGTCAGCTGGAGCTCCGCTGAAGGGGAAAACCTGTCTCACATCCAAGGCCCACACTTGAGGACTTCCACCAACAACACCTGCAACGGGAGAGCGGGTGGAGAAGCTGTGACATCTTAGTGTGGTTCAATTTAGCGTTCGCTCATGAGTGGATACCTAGCACTGTGTGCAGCAATGGCACTGGATGCCGTTGATACGTTGTCAGACGAGGAGCGACCGCAAGATCCCCCCCCTCCTGCGCCAAAAGGCGCACCAAAGACAAAAGCTAAGGCTAAGGGCGCACCAAAAGAGAGAAAGACTGTGACACCGAAGAAAGGTGCACCTGTGCCCAAAGCTAAGACTAAGGCAGATCAGGAGTCTGGTGCGTCTGCCGCTTTCAAGAAACCGGCATGCAAGCGGCCTGCGGCTGACTCATCTTCGTCGACCATCATGAAGGATGGTGAGAAGCCACCGCCTGAAAAGGTCTTGGTGTCCAAGGGCCGCTACAAGGATGGGAAATATGGCTTCAAGATCAATGGGTCTGAGAAACTGCGAGTGACTTGTTGCAATCAAACCTCCATAGCATGTTGATAGGGTTTGTTGGGTGGGCGCTGCCAGGTACTACGACTTGATTCCAATTAGTAATTAGGCTTTTCGCAACTAAGTTGAAGCCGGTAGAAGGCCTTTCCGAGGAGGCCATGCTCGAGATCGCAGCTACTGAGTTGCAAACTCCTATGTGGAAATTGATGGTGAACATGTTGATTTTCTCTTGGTTGAATGAAACTTCAACACTTGCTTGCGAATGAGGTTGCAGTGCGCAATGAACTGATTCGAACACATGGTGATGTTGAAGCGGGTTCTACTTTGATGGCACCTTAGCCAACATTTGGTAGTGAAGCTGAAAGTCAACTCATGTCAACTCGAACCTTGTACAACCTCATTTGCAAAAAAATGTGCAACCTTGTGTGTGCTTACCATCCAACCATCTGCAGGACACTATGGTTGCAGCAGCGCTGGCCAAAGTCAAGGAGACCAAACCCGATAAACATGACAATGATGAGGGGGCTGAGCTGGAGGGTGACTATGAGGGCGAGGAAGAAGAGCAAGCGGATGCTGATGTTGAGGTCTCTGAGATCGATTGATCTGGTTTGAGGTGCGTTGACATGTTGTTGCAGTTATATTTGACATGCATCAATGGCACAGTGGTTGTTTCTGAGCCATGATTCAGCTGCACTCCCGGCCAGGCTCTGTGAGATCGCAAGATCATGAGAGCGCCCTCCGTGAGGTTCCACTCTTGAGGCCCCCCAAGAAAAATTTGAGGCTTCCAAACAAAACATGTTCTTTTCCAGAGGCCTCAAGCGTGAACCATTCAGCTCGGCAGGCTTGCAAGTCTGACTTTTGGTTGCGCAAACACCCACCCCCAAAAATGTATATAATATAGAAGTCAGGCGTGCAAACATTAACTCACTGTTCCTTGCAAGATGTTCAAAAAAGCGCAGAACAGTTCAGGGGATTTGGATGTATGAGAATTAGACTTCCTTTAAACTTGGACCTTATCCCTGGCGTACCGACTGGCGTGTGCGTCTCAAGAGCCAGGGTTTTGAGACTAGTCACTCTGTGGCCAACAAGGAGCTTACAAACATGGAACAAGAATATGTTGCCAAACTTGGCCACTTCGCTGAGTTCATACAATGGGGAACTTCACTTTGTTTCAGTTGATATCCTTTTGAAAGTGAACCCTCCTATCCACACATAAGGTACAGTTTGGGAATCTGGCTTATTACCTGTGAGCTTGTACGAGTACAAGATTGAATCCAACGATGGCCACACCCAATTCGAATCTCTAACGCTGGCGGAAGAAGAAGTGAAAGAAGTGATGCGTTATCTTCACAATGCGAACCTGCTGAAGTGTGCTGACCGGGAGATTATTCTACAAGAGGAACTCAGGTTCATTGTAAAGAATGATGAAGTTACCAGTGTCCCTCACTGGCTTGCTAGCGTGCTAGTTTTTGACATTCGTGAGCAAGAAGAAAAACGCATCTTGTTCCGCCTGGCAGCCAAGAACTGAACGTGGCTTTCAGACCCAGAGAAAATGGGTGAGTGGGTGGGTGGGTGCGAAGTGTGAAGTGTAGTTTGCAGTTTTTTCCGCGTTTCTTTTCGAAGCCGTCGCTACACACCTGGCAACCACAAAATAGCTATGTAATAGTAGCTTGGCATCCACAAAAATAATTGGCTCAAACTCACTGGGCAACAGCCCTGGCGTCCAGAAATCCCAAGCTAAGTTTTCCAAACCAAGCTTGCCAAGCTAAGTCATGAAGTGCAGATGAATGGTGCAGAATGATACTGGAAAGCCAAACCCCTGGATGCAAAGCAAACCCCTGAACCACCAGAACTAAGAATTATGATGCCAATGCCATCTGCACATCGTTCTCCTCGTAGATCTCGTCAAGGTCGCCGTCCTCAAGGTAGATGTACTCTCCATCGTCCGTCTCATTGCTATCTTCTCCTTCCTTCGTGCCGACGGACTCCTCAGTCATGTAGTGCCCCTTTCCTTTATCCTTGATGACCTTGACGAGCTTTCTCAAGCTCTTCACGATGATCTTCTTGTCATACTTCCCATCGCACCATGTCAACAGCCTTTGCTCCTGGTGATCCTGCAGTGAAGCTTGACGATACAAAATGTATCCTTGGGTTCCTTCAGGTAGATCTACACCTTCACGACTCAACCGGTTGAACGCCCTCTCCATTCTGCCTATGTATTCTGAGAGCCCTTCTTTGGACGTTCGAGGAGCACCGTACACCGCCGCCTCAAAGGCCCTCGGCAGGCTCACCTCCAACTGCGGCATGAAGAACTCCTTCAGCTTGTTCAGCACATTGCGAACCCCATCTTCACATGCAATGTCATCAAAACTGAGTTCTTCCATGGCTAGTGCTGCAAGGCCTTGCATGGCCCTCATGAGCTTCACCCCTCTCTTGATGCGAGGGATATCCGTCTCGAACTCCCACAAGCGCACATTCCTTTCAAAAGCCTGGAATGTGGTTTCCGGGTCCTCACCGCTCCAAGAAGGGGGCGGTTCCCGGTCTTTGTAGCTCGGACCCTCCGAGCCTTCTGTCCCTCTCGCAGCTCTAGCAGCCGCAGCACTGAAAGCCGAGCGGCCGGGTACTCCTCCTCTTGCTTGCTCTTCTCCATCGCTCATGGATCGTCGTCAGGAGCTCCGCTACCACTGTGGATCCTATCGGAGCAGCGCAGCGTAGACTGAGCCTTTTGCCATGCGAGTCGAGCGAAGCGGTTGGTGGTACACGGGGCCACTAGATTCGATCCATGATCGGCCGGGACGTGGGTCAATCCATGCTTCTCAAACAAAATGCTTTCACAAAAGCTTTATATACAGGGTTTGAGCTGGCTTTTTCCCTTCACACACGGCTTAGAAAGTGCGAATGATGAGAAGTTCGACTCAATTTCTAAGGCATATGGAATCTGATTGCAGATATTGCAGATTCCCAAGTGAGACCAACAACGCGGGCAGCACGTAGTCGTTGCAGGCGATGCAATTCCCGAGGGCCGAAAGTCGCTCCTCAACCTTCTGGACCTGTCCGCAAACAGACGCGGAAACGGAGAAATCGAAAATAACAGTCGCGGCACAAGTCCTATGGATTCCATATCGAACAAGAGTTATGGTAGGTTACAGCCGTGGGGTGGGGTGTGAGACTTCCCTTTCAGGCTACTAATACGAAAGGACTAGCAGGTTCGGCCAGGACCGTTAGGCCAGCACGCAAATGTGCAGCAGAATGAGAAGCTTGAACAAACATGCTACAGAATGGAATGATTCTGGAGTTGACTTCATTGACTATAGTGCGAAGCAGAGTACCATGACCTCGCCAGTTGTGGCCATTCGGAGATGCCTTTCCACATCAAAATGCTGGAAGACAGTCTTCCAAATTCAATCCTTGTCAGGGTAGACTCTGCCGAGTCGTTTATGTAATGTGTTTTTGCTTTCAAACATTGCAATGTATTGCAATAATTGGGTATCATGGGTATCCAATCCTCTCAATGCTGGGGCACGAGGTCAGCTCGGGCATGGGAAAGCGGAACGTTTTCTACTTGTGAGCTCACCACCTCTGTTCAGTCGAGAGAGAACTTCCAACCAAGCAGCTCGAACCCCCTCGGGCAAGTGATTTCGGAGGTGAGATAGCTCCTGTGGACCGACCCAGCAACAATAGATCACACTGAACAGCTCGCGATTGAGGAGGAAGCTTCTTGACAAGAATCTCCAGTCTTACGAAGAAACAACGCAGTCCCACTGCGCTTCCAGCTGCTGTGTGTCAAGCGCTTTGGAAGCTGCTCTTGAATTGTGGCACTCCTGATCCGTGGTGATGCTGGGTACCAGCAGGCCATGTCGGTTGCCGACAGTCACCTGAACGGTCACAGTACTCTCACAGCTTGGCAGATGGGGCGCTTCCACAGCAGCCAATCATGGCAATAAGGACAGTCAAGGAGTATCTAAACCATCTAAACTTAAACCTCGAGCCTCACATATAGATTTTAAGCACATTCTCCATGGTGGCCTGGCTCATGAAGCTATACCCCGTATATCAACTTATGATTTCTCATGATAGCTCATGCCCATAAGAAATGAACGATCAGTCAGGATTGAATCTAAGCCTTGGGGATTTGACGGTGTAGCTTGTTAGTGTCCAGCAGGAAATATTCCTTAAGATCTACGTTTGAAGAGTCGGAAATCCTCGTCGCTGAGAGCCGGGCTCTCCCGCAGATTCGAGTTCCTAGCAGGCTACCAAGGCCACGAAGGGTGAACGAACGGGCAGTTCTGTCAACAGAACATTGCAGGGCCACATGGGGCCTTCCATACAACTACCTGGTATAACAAAATCAATGAAGATATAAGTTTCGCTGATGTTGTTCGGCCTGAAATGCTCCGCTGCCCATGCTTCGAGTCGATGCCCAGCAAATATCAAACTCACATTTCAGGATGCCTGGATGCCTATGGACATCGCTGTCAGAGTCATCAGTCAGGATCTCCATGGAAAACTGTCAGCTTTGACATGCTTAGCAGGTCAATCTTGAAATCGGGACGCCTTGAAATCCATCCCGAGCCCCATGGGCCCTCGGAGCCTTCATGGGCCCTCGGAGCCTTCATGGGCCCTCGGCCCCCCCTGGCTGGAGCACCTCCAATAGTGGCGTGCACCACTGGGATGTGCTGCGAGAGCTGTGCCTGCGCTCTCTGCGCTCTCTGCGCTCTCTGCGCTCCTCCCCTTCGTCCGTGCACGAGATCACGATCCAAACACTGCAATCGGTCTCAATCAACGGATCGAGTTGGCGCAAGAATGCAGTTGATTCAGAACTTCACGTCATCAGGATGAATCCAAGTGGAGATGATGAAACCACTGTTCAAGCGTGGCACTTGTTTCTAATAGCTTCTTGTTACTACTAGTAAGGCACCTGTTACTACTAGCGTGGCACTTTAGCTTAAATCAATGGACTTGGTGAGTTGTACTCAACTTTTAGGTTGCGAGTGGCACGCCTCGCTCAGCGGATCGGTTTTTGCCAGCAAAAGAGGCGGTGCCATCAAGGACACGAGACTATTCTAAAGCCCCACGGCAGGGTAGCCTTCATCAAGGTAACACAATCTATCAGAATGAGTCAATCATTCTGACAATCAATACGCTGTGAAGCTGGCGATCTGCCGTCTCTCTAAATAGATGATAGACCAATGCCGTCAAAGAGGCTCGTAAATTTATTCCACCTTGCGGAGCCGCTGGAATTGGACCGCCCAACTCGACACCATCAAAGCTTTCAAAAGGGATTTGGTGGATGAACTCCCGCAAACAATGCAAGAAAAGGGAGTAAAATCATGAGTAACCTGCGAAGTGTTCATTTACCTTTGGATCAAAATTCATTTGGCCGACACAAAGATCAGGTCCATTGGTCTGGGGCCTCTCGGCCGACCTCGTGCCGAGCCGAGAGATGATTGGCGATCGCTCTCCAGCACTCCGGGCAAACCACGGCTCAGGCCAAATCAGCTTCAACTCGATATGTGCAAATCTTGTCTGCCAACAGCGAAGAAATTGACAACACATCATGTCTACAACCATTGGTCTAACGAGCATGAGGAGAAGGAAGACACACATGAGAGGTCCTCACACAACAAATGGTCGCGCTTACTGAGCCGTGCCTACTTTACCTACAATAGCAAGGCTCGACTTGAATGACACCTGACAATCACCTTTCCAAGTAATGACCTGGTGAAAAGAAGTAAAGTAAGCTCTCGCAGTTACTCAATGAGGTCAGGAATGCCCTGATTGCCTGTGCCAGCACAAACTAAGATTTCGCAGAGAGCCTGCAGCACAGAGACCACACTGAAATGTTGTAATTAAGTTATTGGCACGTGAGGTTCGCCCTCACAGACCGATTGTCCTTGCTTTCCTCACGGCGTTCCTCAAACAGGGACCGCAAACAGTCGAAGAACGAAACAGTACCGCTTGCTAAGGCTTGCAAGCGCACCAAAAGTAGGTTGGAGGCCATCGCTATTAGGTTGGGGGCCATCGCTCTTAGGTTGGAGGCCATTCCTAGTAGGTTGGAGGCCATCGCTAGTAACAGCTTTGAGCCTAATATGGTTCAGAACTCTCTGGGCCACAGCTCTTGACCCTGGGGTGCCATCCCCACAAATGATTTCCACAACTCTTTAGAAGTAAATCAAGCCAATTGGATCCAAGCCAATATCGCACCCTCAGTCTTGAAACTGGATGCTCAAACTCAACACCATGATTTAAACCAATATTGAGTATCATTGAGATTTGTTCAAAAGCGAACTTAGTGTCCCACATGCCGTGCTCATGGAGTACTTTTTTACTTTCTAGTGGCATTTGTTCTCAACACAGTGTGGCTTTTGGGCTGGTGGCACTCATGGATCCGTTGGAACATTTGTCCCTGGATCCTTTGCGGTGGTGCCCTCGGCATTTAAAACTGTCTCCTTCAAAGCGCTTCTTTTCAGCCTGCTTCAAAGGTCTTGTGAAGGTCCAACTGGTGCTGGAAACGGTGCACTGGTTGCCGCCTTCAACACCAGAAACTGTGGGATCTTCAAGCTGGAAAATGCTCCGAAAGCTGGTTGACCTCTTAAGGATCACTTCCTGGGAATCAACCACCCTTTTTGAGAGACAAGCTCCATTCTCCGAAGTGCAAAGGTCGCCACCAAGGTCTTATGGATGCTGAGTTACGGAACCGTTTAAGTACCATAGAAGTACCTGACTATTTGCCATGTATGTCACAACGTATGCCTCACAGGTCACTGCTTTCCACCTTCCTTGTTGTTTATGGACATGCATATCCCAACGGTTCAAACCAAGTCTATCGTCAGATGCCATTGTTATAGGCTAGCTATCACCCAAGCCTATTTGAGTGGCGCAACATCTGGTCTATCTGAGAATCTGCCTTTATGTTTGTCCCACAACATATGTGTAAGAAGCCCAAAACCTGAATTTCTTCGGTGCACAGTGCGCAGCTACCGAAACCTGTCTTTGGGCCAAATGAGATCTTTGGTCTCCTATTCGGAGAAGTATACATTCTAGTTCCTCTGAAGGTTGGGTGAAAAAAGATTCAAGTCGAGAAGATGCCAGAATTACCTCTGAAACTGGGCAGGAATGGAGACACAGAGAGAGAGAGAGAGAGTGTGTGTGTGTGTGTCAGAGTCCTTTGACAAAGAAAATCGCAAGTTGCTTCTCTGACAAAATGTGTTCCGTGCTGGACAAAAAATTCATCAAAATGGTGATAATGATTAATCTCACCATCATCTGCTCTCTTCCGAGAGGATGGAAGGAGTTGTTCATTGAAAGCCCGGGCAAGAAATGTCCAAAGATCCCCGCCAGAAGTTGTTTGCACATCCCAGACTGGAAATCTGGTTCAAGCGTGCATCTGTTCGGGGGCGGTGTCAGTGCTACGGTTGACAAGCTGCTTTGAACAAAAGCCTCTTGGATGCAAATTGACATGGATTGGATTTAGTTGACATGGATTGGATTTAGTTGCTCCAATGAATACAGTTAGTTCAATAGAACGGGGTAACGTCACCCTCAAGAACTGACTACATTACTTATATACCCTGAAATTATAGAGGCCTTCCCCCTTTGGGACTATGAGCCGTATACTGTTATAAGTACTCAACAAAGCTGTCACCCAAT